ATAGTCATGTGGAAGCTGCAGGATGGAACAATGATGAGGGATCTAGCAACCGAAGCCATCCAGACAGCTTGCATCATTCAAAAACATTTTGGGAGATACGAGACTGATGTTGGAGTGACTCTTCGAGGTTTCAAGAATTATTAAATATCATTTCTGTAGCGAAGTGATAGAGTGAAGAGCATCCCTTTTCAAGACCAATCTTTAATTCGAAGGGAACTACCAACAATTTATGCACATCCGTTTTTTATAGATTAAAATGAGAGCCACTAGAAAGGTGACACCTCTAAATTTTATTCAACAATAATATTACCGGTTGAAATATTCCAAAAAATACTGCAACTCAAAATATTATTATGTAAATATATTCGCGGACACAATAATTGTTTCAGTTGTAATATTTTGAGTTATGTTACCTTGATGGGTCACCACAAACAAGGTGTTCATTAAAAAATCGCTATCTCTTGAGAAAATTGCTCTCACGCTAATTTACCACTCCCTAACAGATTTGTAATTCGACACACGTTATTCCTAACTCCTAGTTATCATGTTGTTCCTCGTTATTGAAAAATAGTGAAATTGGCAATAGCATCCGGGAAGATCTACTTCACGTCTATTGGAGATCCCCAGAGGATTTCTCATTACATCATCACAGGGCAGCCAGTCTGGGACGTGAAATTTGCTGAGGGTCTTTGCAAGTACATGAGAATGATTTCAGATTACATTGGTTCATGAAATTCAGCACTGATAAAAATTATAAGGATCCTTCCAGAGGTGGTGATATTATCGTAGCTGCCAGCAGCTGGCAGTTGGCTGACCGCAATGAATATGTATTCAAAACACTTCCTGATGGAGTACACACGCTCATCTTGTCCTGCAATATCATGTGGGATCAGACCAAAGGAACATACGCAGATAGTGAAATGGCGATAAATACTGATACGAACAGTGAAAAGCTTTTCCCTAAATTATCCGTTCTCGAGCATATTGGTCCTGATACTTTGCGCACGAGGAAAACCCACACGGAATTGAAAACTTTCTCTTCACCATTTAATACCGATTACAGTCGTGAGTTAAAGAATCATTTTTCCAAGAGTTCAATAGAATATGAAATCATTGAGTTTCGACAGATCTTAATTATTTCATGGATTAACTGATTAATTCATGACATATTAACTGATTAATTCGAAACATATTATGATATCTCACTCATGATATCTCAAAACAGTAATCACGTTTTTTTATGAAATATTTTTCATCCCGAGGGTGACTACATATTATGATTCTCTCTGGCTGGATTATTACTGGTTAAAAATGAAGGGTGTCTTTTAGTTAGGCCTAAGGTCATCAAAGTGGCTAAGCAACGATTGAAGAAGGAACTCCAGAGCTACATCCTGAGACCTGTTGTGAGGTCTGTTAAAATGGATGAGCCTTTAGAATATCTGACGGAAATACGTCAAGTCGTTATCGTCTTTATTAATATCGTTACCGCTAACATTGGGCCGAGGAAACTGATTTTGTTAGTGAATGCTGTTTATAAAGTGACTTGTGGGTGAGTT